ATGTCATTCACTAGATCAGGTTGCTCAGGGCCCCATCCAACTTGGCCTTGAACATTTTCAGGGGTGGGACATCCACAACTTCTATGGTATGGGCTTTCCCACTTCCTGGAAAGCAGCAGCATTAAACCAAACCAAACCACAAAAAAAAAAGTAGAATATCCCACTCTAAGTCTCAGCCTCTTAAAATCAACCTGAGCTCGTTTGTAGCAAGTGAGCCACTTCAGCACCCCTCCCCTTCTCCCATTACCTGACAGGTTTAGATTCCTAATTCAGTGTGTACCAGCCAAGAACAGGAAATGTTAATAATTATGCCAATTTTCAATCACTTTAACTGCTTTTGCAAAGTAGCACGTTTACAAACTTCCTCCCTATATGTGACTAGAAGCTGAAGAGTGAAACTCTGTAGACAAAAGCCAAAGCAGCTCCAAAGTCTTGCAGAGTAGCTTAGGAAAAAAAAACCCACCAGCTGCTGTGTGCAGTGTGTCCTGATCTCGCACCTCAAGCACAGACACAGTCAGGGTACACAGCTGAGGTACCTATTCTGTTGTGCAGTTACGATGAATATCTGCAATACTTGTTAAAAACTGGCATGAAGTTCCCAGGAAATTATGAGGAAACTGAAGCCTTAAAAAAAGGAAACAACCGATACGCGAAAAGAAAGGCTGGTCCTAACAAGGGTTTACAGGAGCATCTCACACAGAGAGCCTTGAAGCCACACACAGCCTTAGAGGCATTGCAGTGCAGATGCACAGCAGCTTCTCTTTAGGATGTGGGTAGCCTTAGGCACATGACTCCAGTGCTGTATTACCATGGAGTACAGCGTGTTTCTATGGTGCAGAAAAGACAGAAGCAGCAAATACAGCTGCAGAAAACCTCAAGACCACTCCCTCCCTCTCCCTCCATAGTTCCCTCTTTACTGAAGGACACAGGTAACACAGGCACTCAGTGTTCACAGTAACAACAAAGGGAATGTGTCATTCAACACAGTTGGACTGAGTGGTCATACCTAAACACCTTCCAACCACATCAGAAAAGGACACCTGGCAGTGTTGGTACCCTTTAAATTGTTTCCTTCTGACCTTTGAGGACTGAAGTTATATTTCACAGAGGTCAGCCAAGTGTTAGGGCACACTACCAATGCTATCCCACACAAAGGCAAGAAGGGTTAAGGAACAGTCAGTGACAATTAATAGTATCTATCTTTTCCACTCTTTCACATTTTTCATGTCCTACACCTTTCTTCAGTTTTCTGTAGGGCTCTCTCCATCTTTCTGCCTTTCTTTTTTATCATCTTGCACCAAATTTTTTTTAACTTCTGATTTGGCCTTACAATTTACTTTTCTTTGTTCTTTTCTCCACACTTTCATAATTGTGCTGTAATGCATATTTAAGATGCTAAGAGCACACGAGAGGATTTTTAGTAGAACACAGTACAATAAGTGAGCTGCTTATAAAATCCAGATACACACATCACAGCAGCAGCAGCCAGTGGATGCTGAGTGTGTTCAGCAACATGTCTGGAGCTTCAATGGAAGCTCATACCCTCAGAAAATGTGGCCCTTAGGTGACAGACTCCTTAGTATTAATGATTGATCCCAATTTCTCACTAACGCAAAAGAACTCTAAAGAAATAAAATGGAGGGGGATAAAAGGGCAAAAATGGCAGAAGAGTGAATAAAATAATACAGAAAAACTAAAAGGACAGGTTTGCTTGTATATTAGAGCTGTTGACTGGAAATAATCTTCGTACAGTCCCACCTCCTAAAAAAAAAACCCCACTCAAAAATGCTACAAAATTAAAAGCCAGCAAATACATTTGGAGTTTGGACTCAGATGCCAAACTTCTACAAAGTCAGTTGTACTAACAATAAAGAGGAGAGAATTATCTCTGTAATTGCTGCAATATTTTCCAAATGCACTCAGCTGAATACAAAATTTATTTTTGTGCTTTTTTTTTAATACTAGCATATGGTAGTGGGAGCTTCAGACGAGTCACAGAGGGTTGAGTTTTGGAGGATTCAATGAGAAAATTGCTTGAGATGTGGTCAGAATAATTTTATATTTTAGAGGCAAATATTCTTAATTTCCTAGCATGACTTTATAATAGTAATATACCTTCTTTTTTGTGTGTGTGTTTATTATCCTCTAGATTCTGGAAATATTTCTGTATGCTGAGAGCAAATTACACTGCCATGACAATTATAAAACCATGGCAGTCCCAGTTAGTCCTACTCTATGTATTTGCTCTCCCACTGCTTTAAAAACCTAACCCAGAATGGTATGAATGCCTTAGGCTTCCAGTGTGATTTGCAAGAGCAAGGTTTCATTAACATATTGTATGAGTAGTCCAGCCTCCCCTGCTATCACTATGTATAATCATGACATGTAAATGTGACAGTCTGGTCAAATTCTATGTTCAAATCCCCCAATTTAGATTCTTTATGGTGGATCATTTCAAGACATAAAATGTTAGACCTATATGTCTTTTCTATAAATCTTAGAGTGTCTTCTACCTCTGTAATATCTGAAGACAAACCTGGTTCTTGCTCAGGGCAGTAATCCCACAGGATTAAGTCATACTGTAAATACCAGACAAATTACAATCGGATTAGGTGGGCAGTCTGTTCATTTACTCAACACAGCTGCACTCCAGAGTCTTTTCACCACTGGTGTCTATTTATAGCACAAATGTGTTTTTCTTAAAGTAAATGAACACAGTTTCCATTTCATATCTCTGCTGTCTTACTGTTTGTAACCAATAAGGAACACATTTCTACTTCCTAAGGAGCAAACAGAATGTTCCTTGAGAGGCCAAGAAAGCTGCTCTTGGTACAGATCTGCAGGGCAAGATTTAGTCTAAATTTATTAGTGAAAAGTCTCTCGAAACGTTTGCATTCAATTTCAGTCAAATGAAATATAGAAAATGTCTTTCTGGAGGTAGATATGAGACAGCAGCACAGATATGCTGAAATGTCCCAGGACTTCTTCATTGCAGGAATTTCTACAGTTTCCAAACCTGCTTACATTGGTGAGCATAAAACCTTCTTATAAAGCTCACTTGGTAGATCTGGTGTAGCATGGGGTTTACAGGGGATTTCTGCTCACTTCTGAATAAGAAGCATGTTTAATAATGTTCAATATTACATGCCCTTTGCCAAAATTTCTCTAACGCTTCGCTGAAATTATTTAAAAATGTCACATGGCAACCCTCACAATTACAAGAATCATCTTGCCTTTTAGACACAAACTTGTTCCCATCCAGCACACAAATCTGGCATTACTGAATTTTTACTACTGCAATCAATTAATGAAACCCATGGAGCTGAGATATTCATAAAGCAGGATTAATGGTTGCAGGCATGAAAATATTAAAGCCAAATTAAGCAAACTGCTGTGCCAAGTAGTATTCTCAATATTTTGCTAAGTCCATTCTCACCTCCACCTTCTGATTTCAGAGTCATTATTCCTGAAGTCCACAGAGATAAGTAAGAATAATACTGCTGAGGCTGGGGCAGCAGAGTCCATGAGTCAGGAGGAATGCTGTAGGCCAACCCACCCCATTGCCACCAAGTTCCCTGATACTTACACACTGGCATGTACTCACTAAGCTGCAGAGGTGCAAGGTAAACAACCTCTGCCATGGAAACCCAGAGGGGGTGTTCTTTTGAGCCCCCTGACCGTGTCCCAAAGTGATGTGACCACATTGCAATGAGTAATGTAAGAGAGAGGCAGAAACACAACTTGAAAGGCAGTGTGGAATTCACTTCTCTTCAGTAGCGATACAGTAGCCTGGAAACCAGAGTACCTTCCTTTATCAGGTATAAACTAGAGTAGCTTATCATATCATATTTAATATGTTACAGCTGCCAAATAGGCATAATATAGTACCTACACAAACATGAGATCACCTTTTCTCCTAAGAGAGTTTTTCCTTTAGGCAGGTGACAAGATTTCAGAGTCATAAACTGATTTTGCTGAAGCTGGAAGAGAAAGCATCCTGAGCCCACTTTGCACTCTGACAAGAGGTGCTAGGGTGACCTTCCCCTGTGGGACACTGGCACCACTGAATAGGAAAGTTTTTGCAACAGAAATACAGGTGCCGGGTTCTGCATTCACACACCTGTGGGACTGCTCTTGATATTGTTAGGAGTTTCCACATTTCACTAGCTCAGAAGTGAACATGTTGTAAACCTGAATGTATGTGGGGCAGTGATTTTATGATACAGCATATGACAAGTCAATATTGGCTTAAGGTTTTCCTGCACAATTTCCTCCTGTGCTTTTCTCTGTGTGTGGGTTTATAGGCTATGTGTGTTATAGATCGTGTTGGTTTTCAGATCAATTCACAGCACAACCTCCCAACCAGTCCCACTAGCCCAGCTGAAAGAGATACTCTGTGTCACAGCACAGAAGGAGGCAGTGGGAAGGAGAGGAATGGTTTACAAAGAATCACAGAATCATTTAGGTTGGAAGAGACCTCCAAGATCATCGACTCCAGCCTTTGACCAAGGCTTAACCAAAGTTAAGCTGGTACCTCTGGTTGGTATCATACTTGCTGGGATCACTGGTCAAGTTAAGGGTGATCACTGGATCTTGGCAAAAAAAAAACCAAACAAGGACTGTTTGCTTATTTTGCTACCAACTGCTTGGACAATGACTGTGTCCTAGCATCCATCAAGAAAGGAAGGATGTGCCATGGTAGGAAGATCCCAACTCACATGGAAACGTTACATTTGTGGAAAATTAATGAAAATTGATTTCTTTTGCAAGACCAAGTCATGAGCTGTACTTCTGCAGTGCAGTATGCATACTTAAAAACCTTAAAAATATAACAATATGAAGACTAAAGCAATTTTGACAATAATAATTTTTCTTTTTGTTACAAGAAATTTATATAATTCAGACTTCTGAGATATCTAATATATATAACATATTTAACACATCTAATGAAAGATATATTGTAAAAAGAAAAATGAGGAAAAATTACACCAAGGACTTACTTTCTGCAGGCTCCTTAGATCTTCTGCCACTGGAGGACTTCCTCAGGAGACTTCGTCCTGAGGTGAAGAGGCTGGTTAGTTCCTCCAGAGGACTGGTGGGTGTCCGAGAACGGGAACCACTCTGACAGGATGACCCGTAGGTACTGACAGAGGCATTTACCATCTTTCCTCCTTCTTGCAATGTGTTTCTGGCTGTAGAATGAGGCACTGATGGGGAGCTTCTTGAGAGACTTCCTGAATGTACAGAGTCATAAGGTGGAGGTCTTTTGAGGCTTAAGGGGGTGAGAGACCTACCCATACTGACAGGAGAAGGTGAGGCAGAGTGACTTTTAGGATAACCATGTGGAGACTGTGTTCTGTATAAGGTAGAAGGATGAGGAGGTGAGGAGGTGTGCCCAGGGGTGCTAGTTCCATGAGATACTGTCTGATCTTTCTCCAGTTTTTGATGGCCTGGTGTATGAGGTGGCAGTGAAGATGGAGAAGCTCCAGCTTGTTGTTTGATGTAAGACACATTTTCTAAAACGGGAAGCTTTGTGACCTCTAGTGGAGTTAGAGGAGACTCGTCAGAATTTGGGGAACACTGCACTGGTGCTGGTGGGAACACCAGCAGTGGAGGTCTGTGAGAAAGCAGATTTGGAAATGGTGGGGGTATATCACAAAGCAAGCCCTTGGGAGTAGATGGCACTGAAGACTTGGTGAAATCTAGGTCAGGCACTGTGGGAGTAGCACACTGAGAAGAACAAGTGTGATGGTCATATTCACATTGACATTTTGAATCTTGGCCTACATCATCAAATATAGGGTATTTCATCTCCTCATAGACGGCTTCGCTTTGGTCATCCTCATCTTTTTTGAAGTCTCTGAGAATATTCCCAACCATTTCAATATAAACAGGCTCTTCTTCCTCTGTGTCAGGAGCAGGACTGCTGACCTGCGATAAAGAGGCATCCCTAGTGAGTGTTGTCTTCATAGGGCCATGCTTTTTGATATATGTTTCATCAAAAGATGTGCTTAGCTGAGTGTTTGGATTTCGTTTCGGCTTAGGAGGTGGAATCTTCTTTGTGTATTCATCACTGTGAGGTCTTGGTTTGGCTGACACTGAAAACAGAACAAAATATAAACTAATCAGAAGCATGTAACACACTTTGTCAACCATAAGATTTCCATTACAGTGTCATAATTCTGGAATGAATTTCCTGGGACCAGCTTGTTGTTGGTTTTCTCTGGTATTACATCACTAGAACATTATAAAAATAACCCTATATTCAAAACACTCCTAGAGTTCCCCCAGAATGCTCTGACACTCCAGTAGTTAGTGAGCACTTCCCTTCCTCCGAGACATCTGTTCTTTCCCAAACTCTTTGGGACAGGGGACTTTCCATTTTTAAATATTATGCTTTTCAAATATCACTGTGGGATTTTAAAGATCCAAAGAGTTGCTTAAGACATAACACTAAGTTTCAAAATGAACTCCTTTTGGCCCCAAGAGAATAATTAAGATCCTGGACATTCATACTGGAATGACAGTGATGTAACTCTGAAGTGACACAGTGATGAAGCAAGACCTTTATAATTATAGTAACTTCTTGCACAAAGCACAACAATTCTCTCAGCACTGACAGAGAAAGGAAATAGTCATACACAAACTGTAAAATCTACTGTTGAGATAATCCTAATTTATCTGGAATCTATCCCATTATTAACAAGATTTCAGCAAAGTCAAGGAGGAACAAAGTCTCAGATTCAGATCCTTTCCACACAGGTTATTTATAGGAACCTTGTCTTTGAAACTATAAATCAAAACATTGTGATGAAACTGATTTGAAATGAGAGGTCAAGGGTTTCTTAGAAATTATCCTTTGTGAATTAAACAATAAAGAAATTCATGGAAATTGCATTTTGTTCGCTTTGCATAAGGAGCTAATAAAACATCTCATTAAATGTTAGGGTTAATAAAATGTCTCATTAAATGTTTAGGTGAAGCTAGTTTTTAGTCAATGCAGATTCAACAAATTTATTCAGAAACAAAAGTTACCGCATACATTAAACTTCGTTTATATTCCTATACAGTGATTGACACCTCATTAGTAAGTTTCCCAATTAAGAAACAAAACGAACAAACCAACCCCAAAAAACTCCTATACTACAGGCCAGTTCTGAATGGCAGCTTTCCCACCTTTCCAAACTTTGTTGTTCCTTGCAATTCACTGCTCCAAATCTGCCACTGTGAACTCAGTGCTCAGAGAAATTTTCAGACACCTTCTGCTGAACCATCAGCAAACAGCCAGCAAACGTCTGATGTTAAACCAAGCAGGCAGTACTCACGGAGTCAAAAATCCTCTCTTAGAAACAGCCTTAAACATATTATGAAAGCCAGCAGTGAGGCTCTGCTCTGCCAGCTCAAAGACAGTATTTTGAGGACAGTACCTGTGAGGACTCTGGCCCAGGGCTGGCAGAGACCTGCATTAAAGCACCTTACTAAGGTGACTTGGTCGGTATCAGAGGAGGACTCAAACACAGTGTTGTCACTTTGTCACAATTCTGCTTTGATCTGCTAAATAACCTCTGTTCAATTCCCAGAAGGCACAGCAGTACAGGCAGATGATAAACAAGTTTTGTTTAGGAATATGGAGCTGCGAATGTACATATATGCACATGTACATATATGAAGTAATGAGACCACTCTTCATCAGCAGCATTTGTTTAAGCTTAACATACAACTAAGGTACAACAAAGCAAAAAGAAAAAGAAATCTTTCCAGAATTAAAAGAAACAAAATAACACTCGAAAAATTATATTATGCTTTCATGATGATTCTAATTAATGTGTTCCACTTTGCAGCAGGCTAGGGACATGCAAAAGCTACCACAGATAAGAGTGTTTGGTAGCTTGATAATTTTTTTCACTGTGTGGATATATCCTAATGCATTTTAAATTTGTCTTTTTAATTAACCCAAATTAATTTTCTTGAATGTATTAGGTTAGACTTTTGGGAATGAGATGTAGGCTACCAGAATCTTTTGGGCTTTGCAGAAAATACTACTCCTGATGTATTTGACAATGCTAGCATATCTTTCTTGCCATGCTTGCAGCTAAATTACTATTTCTTTTTCGTTTAGTCTGTTATTTGTAAATTATATTTGTATATATTCTATTGACATAAATTTGATCTCAATCCTCTCTCCACACCTCTGTTAATCTGATTTACAGCCCTGTCAAAAGCAATCTTATTCAGATTGCTGTCATTAAAATAAAGAGAGTCAGTGACTGGCACAAACTGTCTGATCATTTGTGAATGTGTTGCATATGACCTGAACTCTATTTTGGCTACATCTGAAAATTGTACACAGAGGCTTCTCCCAGTCTTCTGTTCCCTGTGCTTCATGCTCCTTAATGAATACCTGAGACAGAAACATTTCCTCATCCTCTGCTCTCCTCAACACCCTGTTCCGTGTGCTGGTTTCTACATCTTCTGTGCCACGGGTGTCCCACTGAGAACATGCTCTGCCTCACAGCTACATCCCCACTCTTTCATCTCTTTATCTACAGAGATGTTAAGGAAAGACAAATAATCAAAACTTGGGATGCTCTTGTGTCAGTGGTCATTCAAGGATAGTGTTAGCTGATATTTTTATTGAAAAATAGCCAAAAGTGGTTACAAGTACTGTGTTTTCAAAAAAATTGCTCGAAAAAGCATATTTTCCTCTTCCCTCCTTCCATTTTCACAGTTTTTTATCCAATTGATTAAGTTCTGCCACACGGTCTAAACCTGTCCTGAGGTGCTGTAGTTTGCATATACAACATTACAAATTACATTACATTACAAATGAGGAAATGAGAAATGTCAAGGAAAAATGATTGACATTCTGCCATTTAGTCTTGTATTTTTGCATGGGTTGAAACTAAGTACCAAGTGACACACAGAGCCTCATCTGTTGTTGCATGATATGCAGCATTAGCCTAAAATATCTTGGTGACATTATCAACAAAAAGGTCAAATGACCCAATCTTGCTGTATGAGACAGAGTAAAATGTGACAAAGTGATTTACTTTCCATTTTGTTTCTAAAGAATTTTTCCTCTGCCATAGTTAATTTTATGAAACCATCTATTTCCAGGAGGTGGCGTGTTACTGAGATCTTTTTCCTTCTGTGACAAATTGGACTTTTCAAATTACAATTTTGAACTAAATGTTTTAAGTATTTTATAAACTTTAAAAGGTAAAAAAGTATCTACCTCCCATATATTGCACAAAGTATAAGACTTCCTAGAGAAAACACACAGGTAAATGGATAAATAACAAAGGAATCATTTAATCATGACTGGGAACAGAGGAACTGTTCAACATCTACCACGAACTCCCCTTGGATGCAGGGGGACATTCAGGAGGCAAATTGAATTAGGTTTAAGAAGTTAATGATGCAAGACATTTCAGTTTATTCAGCAAAGGTTTCTACTCTGAAACAGAGGTCCATGGTAAGGGCTGAATTCTACAGGACACCTTATAATGGAATATGGATCATGAACTACCGCTCCAGCCTGGAACAATAGAGAAAAAAACAGGAATCCTGCAGCTAAACAGAGCTGTGCAAAGCTAATGAAAGGAGCAGGGAGTATTTGTGCAGTTTCTGTATTACCAACATTTCCCAGAGATAGATGTACATGAATGCAGAAGCCCTGGCAAGACCCCATACTCCATGAAAGGGGATTATTTGGCAATCTCCAGAGAGGAATAGGCAAGATTGCTTGAAGTACTTGACATTTATCAGGCAGAAAAAGTATTCAGTACCTGCTGAGAACATAAACTCCTATGAAAAGCAAACCATGCTGACATATTCGTGGTACACACACTGCTGTGTTGTCTGCCCTAAACATGGAGTAATTAAGTGCTTTTCAACATGGATTACTATGTCCTTGGTGCAACTGTTGCCACTAACCTGTGTTGAAACTCTGCCGCTCATACATCAGCGGACGTGGGTCCTGATCCAAAGCTAAATGGAAAAAATGAAAGTGAGAACTATTTCTTTCCCCGCCAGGTGCAACTTTCCTTAAACGTCCATCTCAAAGTGCTTCTATCACAGACACACACAAACACAAGTGACCACCAGGCCTGTGAGGAGTTTGAGAGATGAGAGGCGCTCAGAGGAAGAAAACTCAGCATCTGCTCCATGGTCCTCTGCCCTCATAGGAGCTGCCACAATGCTGTGCTAGCAGACCCTTGTTTGCATCAGAACCATCCAAATCACCATGACTGATAAACTGGAGATACAATAATCCTTGCAAACAACAGTGAACTTCACAAAGTTTATATTGCTCGGGCAGGAACTCGCCATGTTTAATAGTATCCTACTACCAAGCAATTAATTATCCAGCTCTAACAAACCTCAAGCAAAACAAGAGATGTAGGCTCTGGTAACTTCGGTTCTTGTCTCAAAGCAAGTAGCACAATGCCTAAAATAGCCTCACAGAAGCCCTACCGAGAATATGACATTTTTGAAATGAGATATATGTAGCGCAAAGGTTACACGTAGCTTTCAGACATGCCCAGATAATCTGCCTTTCAAAGTTAATTTTGGAAATACAAAGTGCTTCTGGTATTATCCTTCTGAAGTATTTTTTTACTCTTTAAGGAGAGACTGAAATATGAAAATATGTTGTCATAGCGCTGTTTATTGTTTGCTCGCTGTGTAAGGAATGAGTGAAAACATCTAAAAATTAAAATTAATTTTGTAATTGTCCTTTGGGTGTTTTCCAGCTTTTAAATTTCACAGACCAATCTGATGAATTGTGCTGTTCACTGTAAAAAATAGAATAAACAGATGTAACAGGAAAATTCCTCCCTTTCAATTTTTACAAGAGGCTATAGGATTCACACTATTTCTAAATGAAGGAATGAATTGGGTCCTAAAAATGTTTAAATTTCTTAAAAAATGTGACTTTAAATGTGGAAGGAATTAATCTGATTGTATTTTGAGGGATACCTCTATCAAAAGGAGCCTCCAGGAGTGAAAGGAAATAGAATTTCTTTAATTAAACCCTGAACGTGCTGGATACTGAATCACAGATACACAGATTCTGATTCACATCACATAATTCAAC